GTCGTCCGCGCGAATGGGTTTGTGTTGTTCCCCCCCCCCCCCCCCCCCCCTTCATGTCTTCGCCCCTTTTCACACACCCGCGGTGCTCCCCAGGCATGGGATCAAAGTTCGCGAGGAGTGTTCCGCCGTACGTTACCTCGTCCCTCTGACGTTCACACACACACACACACGCCGCCCTGCCGTGCCGTGCCGTGCCGTGCCCCCGACTCTCCCTTATCTGATCTCTCGGCCCTTCCCTTTTGACCCTCTCGCGTTCACACACACGCACACACACACAGAAGTGTTTTGTGTTTTCAACCGCACTAACACTGACTGACGTCTTTTCATTGGTCAGCCGGTTAGCGCGGTCGATGCTAATAATAGTAAAAAAAAAACACACACATACACACCACTGAGACTGATGCCGTTTCTATTGGTCAGTCGGTTAGCGTGGTCGACCAAATAATCAACACACAAACACACACACACATACACACCACTGAGACTGACTGACGTCTTTTGCGTTGGTCAGCCGGTTAGCGCGGTCGATGCTAATAATAATAAAAAACACCCACACACCCACCGCAACGCTCACTCTTTCCTCGTCAGGGCTCTGGCTAAGCTGTGCCCGTCGGTGATGGAAGCTTTCGTGAACGTCGACGAGCTCCTCGCCAAGCAGCCGAGGATGGTCGTCACGGAGAGGAAGAACCCCTCCGATGGAAAGCGGTTCGAGGTGACAGGGGCGAGACAAGACAGAAAAGACCGGCGATACAAAAAACAATAAAACAAAAACAGAAAAAAAGAGGCTGGAATCGTGACGTTTTCGCATTGTTCGACATCGATAAAACAAAAGCTCCTATTATGGTCACACGAGAGCATGACGATCGGAATTTTCGTACGGGCTTTGGCACACCTCTGCCGGGCACCCCACGACTCTTTTTGGCTTCCGAAAAAGAAAGCGGATGCTGCAACGAGTCGAGTAGGCGGTCTTTTTGCAGTGGTAGACTGAATACCTCTCTCACCTTGATGCCCGTCTTCGCGAGTATGTATGCCTCGACGATGCAGTAGGCGCTGCTATCGGGCGTTTTTTGTGCTGGGGAATAACAACACCGACCTTTTTTTTCTTCTTATTTCTGTTGCCCTTGGTTTGTTATTGGTCATCAGGCGAGGGATGGCAGCGGGAGCACAGCGGTGGTGTCCCTCGTAACGCCTGCGCACGTGATCGTCGCCAACGCTGGCGATTCCCGCGCCATCCTGATCATGGTTCCCCCCGACCACAACAGCAACAGCGGCAGCGGCAAGGGCAAGACGAGCAAGGTCAACAGCAGAAGCGACGGCACGAAGATAACCGCCAGCGGCGGCGGCGGCGGCGGCGGCAGCAGCAGGGTGGGTGCGGAGAACAAGAAGGGCGCGGCGGAGACTATGGCTGAAGCGTTGGGGCTAAGGCTTGGCGGCGAACGGAACTCCGGTGTAGAAGAGGAGAAGGGAGAGGAGGCCACGACCGTTGGCAGGCTAGAGGCAGAAGGGGAAGGGGGGGGGCTCAACGACTCGGTGAGGCTGGAAGACCAAGAAGAGGACGATGACAACGAGGGGTGCGAGTTCGATGGTGCCGACAAGATTCGCGAGCTGCTGGAGTCGATGATGCTCGGCGGCGAGGCCAAGGAAGACGGCGGCGGCGGCGGCGGCGGCGGCGGCGGCGACGGAGCAAGACGGGACCGTGATGATGGCGGCGGGGGTGCGGGGGGGGTGATGGTGACCGCGATGAGCAGGGATCACACCGCGGAGGACGAGGCGGAGAGGGAGCGGGTAACAGCGGCCGGAGGCAAGGCGTTCGAGGTGCCCTACACGGAGCAGGACGGGACGACTTGCGTGGTAAGATGGCCATCCAAACCGTCGGTAAATCCGGCAGGTTGTTCTCGACGCTCCCTGCTGTGATGACTCCAAAATCCAACGCATTTCGTTCGGTTGAGGTAGTTTCTCGAACAGCAAGTCTTCCTTGCTATCGTTTGTATTCATGCAGACTGTATAGTTTGTATAGAGTACCATTGCACTAGATAGTCATGGTCTCGGAGCAATCAACTCACTTGGGGGAGAAACTCCTCGAGGCGTTTTGGGAGAGGAGATTTGTGGGATCATTGTAGGAGGGGTTGTGTGGAGGAAGCTGACGCTACAACAAGCAGCAGGGTGCGTTCAGAGGGGCGATGTGCATGGGTGATACTAAGCGCGCGCGGGCCGTATTAGGCGGTTGGCGACGTTGCGGTCCAGTTATTGAGGCAAGCGCCACACCCAGCAACAGGAACAACCTTGTCAACAACAACGTTACCACAACGACAACGTCTTAAGGCGGTTGCCGGTGACGTGATCCGTTGCTTGGGGCGAGCGCCACACCCAGCAACAACAGCAGCAACAACAACGCAACCACCCGAAAAAGCAGCAGTAACGACAAAGCGTGTGTCTTGTTTCTTTGTCTTTTTTCAGGTGGTACGAACCGCCTACGATGACAAGGTGGAGGGCCAGAGCGTGGTGCCCACCAGAGGCTTCGGCGACCTGTACTACAAGCAGAGGAAGGACGACGACGGGAACCTGCTGCCCCCGGCGCAGCAGGTGTGCTGCTGTGTGTTACTACGCGTTGACGTGATATGTGCCTCTTTCACTCTGACATGTACTCCCGCCGTCTGTGGTGTGGTGTGTTGTGTCTCCTGTTTCTTTTGTGTGTGTTTGTATCTACCGCGCTGTCCGGCTGCTGGGCAATGAAATGTCTCCCGCCTATTTGGGCGCGGGGCAAATGACGAGGAAACGTATGCATACACCGCAGGGGGGGCAAGGCGGAGAAACATCTCCTGGGTGACCTCGGCTGGTGCGCCCAGAAATTGTTCCGAATAATGGTGTAAGAAATGCCGACGCCCAGAATAAATGTGATAGCACAATATGATTAATAATACAACACTACGTTCCCAGGTGTTGACGTATTGTACAGAGATCATGGCCCAGCCTCCTAGGTAGTTGGGCTACCTACCCTACCCTAAGCTTTCTACGCTCTCAGGCGATGGAAATATTGCCCAAAGATCATGGCCACAACCACCTGCCCTAAATACACTTATAAATACGACTTGCTACGCTCTAATGTGGTGACGTGTTGCCCAGAGATCATGGCCACAACCTCCTACCCTAAATACACCAATAAGTACGACTTGCTACGCTCTCAGGTGGTGACGTGTTGCCCAGAGATCATGGTCCACGAGCGCGGGTCGAGCGGACAGGAAGAGCTTCTCCTTCTCGCCTGCGACGGGGTGTGGGACGTGTTCAAAGACCAGGACGCGGGGGAGTTCCTGGTGAAGACCCTGGACGTGCCCGTGGGGCAGGTGCGTTCGTTGCCTACAGCAGTAGGTTGCATGACGGAAGATACCACAGGTGCGTTCGTTGCCTACCGTAGGTTGCATGACGGAAGATACCACGCCCCCCCCCCATTTTCACGGCTCGATTACGGCACCCCACGACGACGAGGATGTCGTCGCGATTTTATGATACGTAAGACCGTTCTTTCCATCCCCGCCATCATTCTCGGCAGGCACCAGCGAGTGGTGGAACCTTGAAAAATCGGCCCAGGGGGTGTGATATCTTACGTCGTGCAACCTACGCTGCCGCGCGTGTTTCGGTGTCTTTTTTCTCTCGGCGGGCGTTATAGTAAGCGAGGCAAGGGGTTCTTAGCTCCTTTGGGTTTACGATACGAATGGCCGTTATACAGCAGTAATGTTTTATTTTGCAGGATTTCTCAACCGAGCTCACAAATGGTGATCAAGTCCCTATTAATAGATGTTGAGATTTAGGAGGCTCGTTTTGTTTTGCTGCCAAGTTCTCTGTGTATGAGCATTAATAGTATTTTTTTTTGTGTTAACTAGCAAACGGATGCGTTTTGCCGCGTTTTACCTACACATAAACGCGCGCGTGCTTTCGAAGGAGATTGTTTGATTGTTGCGGCGGCTGCCATGTGCTGTCGCTGCTGCGCCAAGTGTATGCGGCATGCGTTGGCAACAGCGGGAGAGAGAGCCCCCTTGCGTTTATCGCAGAAATTGTTTCAAGCAGGAACGTTGAGCGGAGAAGCCAAGCCACGAGACCGCCGTTCCCCCTTGCTGTATTACCTCTATCTGCAGCAGTTGCTGAAGGCATCGGGGGGGACGCATCCGTAGAATCCTTTTCAAAAGGGTCTTGCCCGACCGAGCAATGCAACGCAGTGCTGAATGAATGGTGCATGATTTCCGGCGCAACCCTGCTGATCGTTACAACAACAGAAGATCCGGCGCATCCCTGCTGATCTCAACAACATCAAAAGGAAGTACACGCTGGCACTGAGAACTATGAGTGAGCACGAGACACGAGACCCGCCCCGCTGAATGGACACAGTGCATGATTTTCCCGCGCAACCCCGCTGCTGCTGCTGCTGCTGCTGCTGCTGCTGCTGCTGTGAACCCGCCGTACGCACGCTCGCAGGTCACGGGAGAACAGCTCGCCCTCGCCTGCGATGCCCTCGTGAACGAGTGCCTGAGGAGGGGGTCGACGGACAACATCACCGCCATGGCGGTGTCGCTGGGGTCGGGACCCCCGCCCCGGCCCTCGTCGGCTGGCGGGAGAGTTCTGTTCAGCGACGGCCAGTAATAGCGGAACCGCTATCTACGCGAAACTCCACGGACTTTGATTTGAGTATTTTACACGCATTAGTCTCTTTCCGGAGCCCCCAGCAGCTAGCTGGCGGGAGAGTTCTGTTGGGTGATGGCCACTATAATAGTGGAACCGCCCTCGCCGAAACTCAATGGATTTGATTTTTGAGTCTTTACACTCGTCAGACTCCTCCGGAGCACAGCAGTCAGTCAACCCTACTCCCGGTAGGCGGCGAGTTGCCTTGACATATTCGTTTTGGGTGGCGTCGTTTGACGCGTGGTATTTTCCGTTTCATCAAGAATTAGTTCGGGAGGCCCGGCAAGCTTGTTGCTTGCTTGCGTTTTCGGTATGAATTCTGGCGATTTTTCGTCCAAGCCACGACCACAACATATATATGGTCGTAAATGTGGCGAATATTTTTGGTGGGTCGCGGAAGGCGCGCTGGTGTTGTTGCTGTTGTTCTCATCGCGATCCCGCCCGTGGGGATGGCAGCGAGTTTTGTGGACGGGGCGACAATCCTTCTCGCCCCAACTTTCGTCTGTGACCTGTCGCTCAACACGTTTGCCTCGTGGCAGCAGCGAGCGCACGCGGGGATGGGGTTGTATGTCTTAATGCCGACAGGCCGGCTAAGGTGTTCGCCATGTGGAGAAAGGATGGGATGAGTAAAACGTCTTGCTGGGGTGTATCGAAGGAGGGGGGGGGGGGGGGGATCTCTTTAACCGACCGACGGCTAGGGCCTGGTGTCGGCATGGTGAGTACCATACAGTCCGACAAATAGGGTTGATTGCTTTCTTGAGGCTGGTGTAATTTTGCGTTCTTCAGTCTGCTGTCATACTGCCTTTCTGTTTTCGAACGGGCTCTACTAGAAAATACGCCTCCCCGAGTATGCGCACCTACAACACGACGGCTGTAGGCCACGGTTGGTTGCGGCTGGACACGTCTCGTTGCACCTGTTGCTTGTTTGTTCCTACTTGGTTTGTGCAGCAATGATCGCGTTTTAGCCCGGCCGGACTACATGTTTTGCTTCCCGCGTGATCCTTTTCTTTTTCGTTAATCGATTACGCTTCCTCCCCATCTCGAGGGGTACGAGGGCACATGGGAATCCGTTTCGACTTTGTGGAGCGCAAGCTTTTTCCCCGTATCGTCGTCCTTTTTTTTTGTTTGATTTATTTTGTCACAACGAAAACATCTACACGGGTGAGAGTCTGGGCTACCCGTGTTTGTACGATCCCTCTCGTTTTTGCTTTTGTTTGGCGAGCGGAGATGGCTCCTTCATGACTGCGCTCTTGGTACGTAGTGCTGACTTGTGGTGGTGCAGGTTTATGGTGGTCATATGGCGTTGAAGCAAAGAGCAGGAGGGGGGGCAGATAGGAGGGGCATGCACACGCATCTTCCGGCAGAAAGGGTGTGAGACGTGTGCATTTCACGTGCACGTTTTCGTACTTTTTTTTTTGCAGTAAAACACAGGCACGCCAAATCGGCCCTGTTTTCAAGATGTGCGTTTCCTTGTTGTAGCAGCGGGCACCGCCGTCGTGCTTTTTTTGAAGGCAACACGATATCCCTTACCGTACTTTTTTTTCTCTCTGGACCAATTGGTGCAACAAGCTGTGGGATCTTGTTTTTTTTTTTGACACTTGTACCTCTTCAAGTATTTAAGCTTGTGATCACGAAAACAAGTCGTTCTCCGCCTTTGAACACTGGAAAGAGGTTACAGCGGTGTTCTAATTAAGCAGTTTTGTTCACTGTGGTGAGTGTTCTTGAAGACCGCGGGCCATCCCTTCGAAGATCGTGGCTTTGGGCAGTTATTTATTCGGGCAGTGATGTTGATAGGGTTTGGGGGTGACGTTGGGTTCGAATAATGAGCGTCGCTTTCGGAAGACAGGGCTAGGCCAAACAACGAACATGCGTGGAGTTCGGCAGCCCGTGTCTTATGATTGTTTGCGTTTTGGAAAAGTACTGCGTCTTTATCCCGCAGGAGAGAGAGGAAGGCTCGGGGCACAGCTATGTGAAGGAAGATCGCTCGAACAATAGCGAGGTGTGGGGTAATAGCAATCTGAAGAGAATACCGGCTTGCGATGTGGCTGCACCAGCAGCGACAACAACACCGAGCAGCTAGCCTCTATTGGCAGCAGCAACAAGGACTCGGAGTATCTACTACTACTACGTCTTCACACGCATTTAAAAGCATTTGATCTCTGCCCGGTGTACTTCTTCTGCATCTCCTTCTGATGGTGCAGCATGAACATCAGAATGTGTCGACCGGCGGCAAGCAGCATCTACTGTCAAAGCATACACCTAATCCCACCTCGGCATCATTTGGTTGATGTCTCTTCGGCTGGACATACATCCGAACAGACACGAGTAGTCCAGCAGGCAGAATAGATTTGGTACGTAAAAGGGTCCGGTACCAGGAGCAGGCGAAAGGATACGCGGTCACATTGGCGTCAACGTCGCCCTCGTTCGTTGATTTGTCGTGGCCGCTCTACATTGCACAATGAGTTACCATCCAGCGGTCTCTATTTACACAAACACGAATTGTGTTTTGTTGCTCTCTCGCTGGAACGCACTCGAAACAACCAAACACGCTAAAAGAGAATATTGTAGTTTTCACGAGCCATCGAAAGTGAGGGAAAAGCTTGTTTGATTCCCGTCGCCGTCAAATGGTGTTGCATCTACGGATTCAGCGCTCTAAGCCGCGGGTCCGAGGCCAGCTTTGCGTCCACGTCGGCGTACTTCTTGAGAGCGTTCTCCTCGTGCTGGACCAGCCTTTGCTCCAGCACCTGAGTACGGTACAAGGATCACCCGAGGCGGGAGTTGTTGGTCGATCGATCGCGGTGGTGGTGGGCAACAGTAGACTATTAGTAGCCTCTGCAGCGATTGGTGGCAACAAGAATTGTGTTGGTCAATAGGCCGGCATCGCACGGGACACTCACGTAGACCACACGGCCTACCGACATTCGACAACAACGTCATCCACCCTTCATTTCTCCCGAACGACGCATGTACACTACGCACTCCAATCGAAAAACAAAGCGATTCGGGAGGAGTGACAACAACAACTATTAATAACTCTGTTTTCCTTCCGCATATCATCGGTGCGTATGAATGAACCTATGCATACGCCCGGTGCTCTCACTTTAGAACTTTGCAACACAACAGGTCCTCCAAGGAGAGCCCGAACGTACTTGACGCGAAAAGGAACAACGATGATAACTGTACGAAATTGGATAGGTCGCCCGCCCAATACGTTGATCTTCTTGCTTGTTCCCTGTCAAGAGTAGAGGGCGGCATCTCCATGACGCTTTTGATTCTGAACCGTGGCTTCCAGGGAAGCGCGACTCACCCACGACGACGACGACAACGACGACTCGCTCTTATTTTCACCTGTATTCTGAACATCGCCTCCGAGCAGAATATCTCGAACTCTTCCTCTGCGTTGGCGTCGTTGTCGCGCTGGTTTCGCTGGAACGCCGCCTGCTTCTTCGCCAGCGCCGCCGTCTCTTCGTTGAGGCGGGAGTTGATGATGTTGGCGCGTTCCTGTTGTCGTGTCATCGATATCGTCGACGGAGGGGTTTCAGAGGCGTCGTGTTTCAAGGCGCGCAGGGGGGGGGGACGAGGTGATCAACTTTAACATAACAGAGAGAGAAGAAAGGCTGACTCACAAGTGGACATACATGTCAACTTTTTCGATCCCGTCTCCACCCTACAAATGAAAAATCGATGAACATTGTTCGCCTGCTTCTCTTTGGACTGGAAATGTAGCTCTCAACATACGCTGCAGCACTGACTCAAGGTGGTTGAAAACTTATTTTTTCTCCATGAATCCCTGAAGCCTACCAAAGGCGGCGCGTATCTCGAGCTCGAGCCTCGATCATATACGTGCCATGTTATTCAAATAGGTAAAGGTATGTTGTTTCAAATATTGTAATGGGTCTTCGGAGGGCAAGTCGTACTACACCACAAGTGTCTGCCAGGCCCTCACCAAGAGGCGGTCCTTGAGGGCCTTGAGGCAGGCGTCACGGGCCCTCTGCGCGTCGGCGGAGGAGACGCTGCGGATGTCGGGCACGTGCTGGAGGAAGGGCGTCAGGTAGTCCACCTGCCCGTTTGTTGTCACAGCAAAACGACATAAACGAGGAGTGGACGTGGGGCCGGGGGACCAGAGCAAGGGGAGGGGGGGGGGGGTGGTTACTCATAGTCGTGCATGCCGTAGTCGTTAGACCATTGATCTCGCATCCCTACAAAGCCGGGACGGAGCACGCCGGGTTATCACCGGACCAGGCTCTCATGTCACCAAGCGCGAAGCGCCGTGAGGTATTCGGCGAGTCGCATGAAGGGTGTGCTGCATCCTGCTAAGGGTGTTCGGCATCTTGTGTGCTTACTTCCTTGCGTACGGATGACAGCTACGTATGACTTAATTTATTTTCTGGTGCTTTCACTTCCAGAGACAGTTGTAAGCACTGTGCAACTGCCTCGAGGAAGCTTGACCATTTTAACACAACGTGGTGCGATCATCCCCCGTTGCGCGGAGTGAGGGTTCTCGACCCCGCACAACATGATCTACTCGACCACCATTATGGTTACCGCCAAAAAAAAAAAACGAGGTAAAAAAAAAACCGGTAACCTGGTTGCCGAGTTCACGAAGTGAATTGGCTTGTTTTACAACGTCGTTGCCAAGCGACGAAAACCCAATCCCGATGGCAAACACCGAGTGGGGGGCTTGTACAACGTCGTTGCCAAGCGACGAAAACCCAAACCCCGATGGCAAACACCGGGGGGGGCGGCTTGTTTTACAACGTCGTTGCCAAGCGACGAAAACCCAAACCCCGATGGCAAACACCGGGGAGGGGGGGGGAGGGGGGGGTATTCATGAAAAACGCATGCCGTAGTCGTTAGACCAATGATCTCGCATCCCTACAATGCCGGGACGGAGTGATATGTCCCGTTTCGCCGGCCCACGGGTACCGCCCTGTGGGAGGGACCGATGGGAACGTGTGGGTCCTGTTGCTCATGTCACGAGCTCGGGCACCGACAGTGGAAAGCAAATTCATCGTGCCAGGCTAGACGAAAACTTGCGAGGTAAGGTTCAACACGTTTGTCAAGCTTGAGGAAAAGCGACGTCGATGGGGGATGGTAAGAGCCTCGTTCAGAGGTCCCTATTTCATCACAAGCTACACGCCACAAGTGCCCCCCGGAAAATAGTCCGCCCGGGGGCGGTGAAAACCCGACAAAAATCACTCTGCCCCGGCATTGTAGGAATGCGAGCTCAACGGTCTGATGGCTACGGCATGCGTCTCCGTCCCGGCATCGTAGGGATGCGAGGGTCAATGGCTTTAACGACTGCGGCATGCGTTCACACGAGTGGGTACACCCCGGGGGGCCCGGAAGAGATTATTCACCTGGTGCAGGTCGACGTCTTCCTCCACTTGCGCCATCTGTTCGGAAATTTTTTCCTGCTCCGCTCTCCTCTCGCGAGCGGTCTCGAACACCGGGCGCTCCAAGACCACCTGCCTGGAGTTTCGAGCGCGTTCGGCAAACGAGAGCACGGCGTGCGTTTGGTTCGATTTGTTTGACAAACCTTGAGCCACTTCCGGTAGAGTCAGCGAGCGGTGCGGTCGTTGTTTCCTGATTTTGGTTTTTACCGGGCTCCGTTCTGGTTCAGAACCCCTTTTCTCTCTGGTTCAGAACCCCTTTTCAACACTTGTGGGTTGTCGGTGCTCGACGTACAGCACGCAATACCTCTAAAGAACCTCTTTCGTTTCGTGCAGCCCTCTCTTCTTACTTTATCAGTGGTGGGAAACCAACAGGGGGTACAACGGTGTGGGTATGGAAAAAGTGTTTCAACTCTAAGATGACCAAACTCTCCATTTCTCGGCTGCTAGCTACGTAGGTAGGTGCGTTGTAACCATCAGACCGACCGAATTCCAGTCTTTTCACCAAGTCAAGCGTTGATCGATGGTGGGGCTTGAAGAAATTCGTTGTCGAAATTTGAACTTTGGAAAATGTGCCCGGTGCTTCCGTCGGTTGAGTGACGCATGTTTGGCGTCCGTGGTAGGTAGTAAGTGGAAGGCTTTCTGTGGCTGTCCTGATGGCGACACGTTATGACTTCAGACGGTCGTGTTTCCCGGAGATGGTATGACCATGAGGGCGGAGTGCAAAGGATGGCTGCACGCGACTCGTGTCGCGAACCTTGCAAACAACCCCACAACAGCACAACAGGGTGGCTGGAAAGAAGGAACGTCCCGATAAAAAAGGGGAAAAAAAACAGTCAATCCTTTCACAAGCCGCACTGGCGCCCCGGCTGCAACACAGTCAGAATATTCTGCGCAATCCAGCTAAGAGGCGCGGCGTGTAGGGTAGGCTAATCCCGGGCCATGTTGCGGGCTTACGACTCACTCTTCCTGCCGCTGCCGGAGCTTGATCAGCTCCGCCATCTCCACATGCACGTGTCGAGCCTCCGTGAAGCAGTCCTGAGGTTCGAAACAAACCATCACGCCCGTTTTGCGCGCCACGCGACAAGTTCGATGAGAGGATGAAATTGCCTTCCTCGCAGTCATCTCCTTCTTTTTTGCTCACACTAATAATACTTGGCGTCAAAAGCCAAGAAGACCCCGGTTAGGGACTATTATGGCGGCGAAGTCGTCCGACCGAGAGTCTGTACGGGGCGTTTTTCTTGTCGATGGCAAAGTGAGTCGCTTTGGTCGATGTGGGAAGTACATTGTAGATGGTGCCGGCGCATTTTCCCCAGCATGTGCGATACACATAGCTCAACACAGAGGGAGACCCAACACCGAGGGTTTCCTAACCTCACGCACTATAGCGGTGCACCACCCGACCCTACCGTCCTCCTGTTCGCGTACAACTAATCATAAGTTTGCCGCCCTCACTACTCCGCGTGAACCGTTTTTTGATCTCCCACCTTTTCCGCGAGGATCGCATCCTGCAACGTCTCCTCCATCTCCGCCCCCGCCGCGCCCCCGCCGGCGCCCCCGTCTCCGCCGCCGGGGGCCCCGGGACCAGCACCACCCGCCCCCCCCCGCCCGCCGCCGGCTGAGGCGTCCCCCCCTCCGATTTTCTTGGCGCCGCTTCCGCCCCCGCTGAGCTCGTAGGCGTAGGCCGCTCCGACGATGGCTCGATTGTCCTTGAAGTGCATCTGGAAGTATGTTTTTTCGCGTTGTGTGTGCTCGGGTTAGTGGAGAAACGAATAGCGTGGCCATGGCTAGCACAGTTTGTATTCATACTTCTTCGTGGATGACGCGGTGGTGTGGTTGTCGTCCACAATCCTTGCTGGGGTTGCGCATGCTGCGACAGGTGCCCCCCCCGAACCAAGATGTAGACCGAATCTTCTTCGTCTCGACACCGGCCGGCACTTCGACGGGTCTCAGGCATCCCGCGATGAAGCAACCTCATCGTCCCAATCATTGACCTCAACAGCATCACACCATGGGACGACAGCAGCAGCAGCAACAGCAACAGCAGCAACAACAACAACAACAACAACAACACGACAGCGATAGCGAGCAGCAACAACAACAACACAACACGACAGCGGTAGCGAGCAACAACCCGCGACTACAAGCACGAAGAACAGATCCACCCTCCAGAGTACTTCTCGCCTTTCTGACGCGGGTAACATCCCCTTCGGGGTAGTGGTACAGCGTGCGGATGCGGCCCTCCGCGAGGTAGTAGGACCTCTTCGCCACGTCCCGCTCGGCGGCCACCCCGCCCTTCCGCTCGAACTTCTCCGTCATCTTGTACACAACCTTCGAGGTACGCGTCCGTGTCGTCGGTCAGGCATTGGTTCACACGTTCGGGGGGCCCGCTGGGTTGTAAAAGAGTGGTGTTGTTCAGGCATTGGTTCACGCGCTCATTGATCTTTCGAGTTCCTCGGGCAGGGCATTTGTTTTTTCGCGTTCTGAACGCGTTCGTTGTTTCTTTCGAGGTGTCTCAGGCCGTGGCTCGCACGTTCGGTCGCTCCGTCGATCTTGATCGCCTATCTTTTCTTCGGAGAAGAAGCTTCAGCTCAAGGGGCTGGAACTGGAACAGGGGAAGACTACCAGAGGGGTGAGAGCCTCCGACCAGTACGAGAAAGTCCACCACAAGGGGTGATAACAAGTGTCTCTAGGCTGCGTAGTTGTTGCGACTGTTGTTGTAGACGATGAAGCGTTCACCCCTCGTTTCGCGCTTTTTTTTTTCCGGCACCTTGCGCGGATACCCAGTACACACGCCCCCTTTATGACTTTCGGCGAAACACCCGAAAGGAAGAAGGGACCTGAGGAACAATGTGACCACTTCTACGCCCGCGCAAAGCGACACCTGTAAATCGTTGAGATACCAAACACCGCAGTAGCTCGGAACCTTTTGTTTTCAAGCTCACCACGGGCATTGTGTCGAAGAAAAAATAAAAACCATTCATTACCACGTATATCTGTGTGTCGCCACACCCGAAAGCCTGCCACGTAGTCCATCCCTACCCCTCCGTTTTCTGCGCGTTTCTGTAGTCGAGCATCTTGCCTTGCCATCTTCTTGACCAACAGTTTCAAATACTCTTCCCCCGCCCCCTCGCCCGCTGCCTCCTCCCC